CAGAATTCCCCAGTCAGCTAGGCTGTCTGGGGAATTCTGGGAGTTGAAGTCCACCTGCCTTAAAGTGGCCAAGGTTGAGAAACACTGCTGTAGAGTACTGATTTTCTACTTACTTAATGCAACTTATAAACTCATCTCAAAATGTAACAACTACCTTCTTTTCTTCTGCTCACTCCTCTGTGTTTAAATTAGTGCTAGTCATATATGAATAACTGCTAGCATTTACGTTTTAAAAGAAGAGCAGTCATTGCTTCCATTTGCGAGGATTGCTTTGGGACAATTAGCCTTTTTTACATGAAATACAAATTCCCCAAGTTGGCTGAAAAGACCTTCAATTGCAGTCTTCTGATTGCAACATAGTGTAAGAATTCTGTCATGCCCAAGCCAACATTTTTCATCAGCTCCCCCCTCATTATTTCCTAACATTGAACTCAAGGAAGAAATCTGTCAAGCTTGAAGGTAGCCATTGCTTTATGACTTTTAGTTCATTCCTGTATGATGTCCTATTTAGCAAAATTAGGAAGAGATTTTAATTTATTGAACAGGATATTTAAATGAAATAGTGCAAGGGAAAATTAATATAAATACAATTATAATTTATATAGTATTTCAGAGTGCGTAAGGAGCATAAAGTTGATCCATGTATTTCTATAGTGGAAAAGAGCGGTTTATCTAAGGCAGGTGAGATTTCAACTAGTGCAGTCTAGTTGAGTTACTGTCTGAGGAAGTGGAAGTAAGTATACAGTAATATATACATGATATCTTTCTGATCATTGCTTATAATGATTGATTGATTATGTGCCATCAAGTCTGGGACTCCTAGTGACCACATAGATAGATTTTCTCCATGATGATCTCTGCCTAACCTGTTTTTTCAATGGTGCACTCATAGCCACTTAACTGTCCATCCACCTTGCTGCTGGTCATCCTCTTCTTTTCTTTCCTTCTACCTTTCCCGGCATTAGAGCTTTTTCCAGACAGCTGTGTCTTCTCATAAGGTGTCTGAAGTAGGATAATTTGAGCCTGATTATTTGTGCCTCAAGTGAAAACCCTGAGTTGATTTGTTTGATAATCCATTGGTTTATTTTCTTGGCTGTCCATGGCTTATAACTATTGCCAGCACTCAGTTATGTGGGGTACTGTGCAGTGTGGAGATAATGGCATCATAAATGGCATGCAGCATTGCTGGCAGCAGCTCACTATAACTTCTGGTTTTTATTTATTTATTTCACAGTATTTGCAACCCCAATCTCAAAGGAGTCTGGTGCTAACAACAAGACAAGATTAAAATCAAAGTACAAATAATGTAAGAAAAAAAAATGTCAGCCGCCCAGAGTCATGTATATGAGATGAGCAGCCATATAAATTTATTAAATAAATAGAAAAGAAATATCTATGATGGACATCCAGAATCAGCCAGGGCTGAAGCACATTGGAACAATACTGTTTTTAATTGTTTTCTAAAATTGAATAATGCTGAGGGTCTCTGAACTTCTGGGGAATGGTGTTTCACAAGCTGATGGCTCACAAGATGATAGCTATGACTACTATATCTATTGTCTGGTTTGCCTTCATGTACCTCTCAAGGAAGGGGGACCCTTTATAGACTCATTCTAAATTACTGTACCTGACCAGACAGATTCAATTTTGGCAAAGCATTGCCTGCTATATATTGGGGTTGTACCATTTAGCTTCACATAGGTTCAGCTTCAGATATGCTGTTCTATATGTAATATTTGTCTCAGGCATTTCTAAAACAGATGTCATCTCTCTACTGTTCAGTCCCTTAACACTCATTGCATGATGAATGTGAACTGAAGAGATGGTATTGAGGACAAACATCCTTTTTTAATTCAACTTCTCCACCATGAACGGTTATTCCACTAATTCTGGGTGTCATAAACATTCCTTTTCTGTTTCTGCCATTGTAGTTTAAAGAGAAGAGAGGTAATGGGACTTTAGTAGTTTTGCTGATGATAAGAATGTGGTCTAGCTAATGATAAGAATGAAAAAACAAGCAGAAAGTGCCACCTGCCAACTATTGTGCAATTCCTGTTTACTAGCTCAAAACCTCTCAAACCTATATGTTTGGGAGAATTGGTTCTAATCATTGGGCAGGCAAGTACACATAGGACATAGAAAAAAAGGTTTAAGCCAATTGCTGGCTCTGAAATAAGGCAAGTGGATTCAAAACTCTTTTTTTCTTATCAGGTCCTAGAGAAAAATCCTAACAGACCAATGAGCCACAAAGAGATTCTTCAGGTTATCCAAAAAGAAGGGTTAAAAGAGATTAGGTGAGTATGAATTACTGTACTGCTTAGTACTCCTAATAACATAAACCAGAGATATTTTCCAACTGTAGACTTGCAGGGGGCAAATAGTTGACTAAGGCAGCACCTTCTTATTGTTTTATTATATTTCACCTTTCCTCTTTTCTAATGAATGTTTTTACAGAGTTTACTCAATATATTTTTGCATTAGAATTAATAATTTGTTGGCTGTAAAATAGTAATAGGCATGTAGGGATCCAACTTAGTACTGAAGACAAATCAAATAATAAGATTGAAAAGCAGGGGATAATACAATTCTGAACTCAGACCAGTTGTCCAGTAATTTCAGAGCTATCCCTTTGGGAATGGAAATTGTCCTGTTTGGACTTTGAAATTAAGAATTGGCCAAGAAATCTATTCAGACTTCACCATGATGTATTCATGAATGTGTATTTCTCTCATGTTCAATTTGTGTCGCCAAACTTTCTTCCAGATTTTAGTTACTCAGACTAGTTTTGTTTCTACATGAAACTCTGCATTTCATTTCTTTGTATTTATGAAAACATTGATTAGGGAACTAATGCTTCCTGGTAACAGACAGAAAGGAGTTTTTTTTCATGAGCTGGATGGCAGCTTCCTGATTGAAGTAATGTCACCTGGGTGCCATGGGCCTTAAGAATTTTACTTTTCAGAGCTGCTCAGTGGTTGAATGAATGAATGAATGAATGAATGAATGAATGAGTAAGTAAGTAAGTAAGTAAGACTGAATCTTGGTCTCCTCAGTTCAAATCTGGTACTTTAAATACTATATTCAAATGTCTGATATTTATCTAGATTGCTCTTGTCTACTCTGACTCTAAGAACTGCTCAATGCTTCAGACAGTGGAGGTGTTTTCTGATTTTACTATTACAGTATTTTCTTTCCAAGTTGAATGACAGGGATTGAATGAGGCCTTCCGTGAGTATGGATGCAGATTCACCTTCTCCATAAGGGAATAATGACCTACCTTACAGAGCTGTTTAAAGACTTATTAGAACAATCATATGAAATGCTTTGAATGTTTTAATATGTTTTATAAAAATGCTACACGTTTGTTGTTAACTAATCTATGCTTAATGGAAAGCACTTCATAGTAGAAAGAACTATGCAATTCAGCATGTGTTGGAATTTGTATACATGCTGTGAAGTTGCAGTGTGCATGCACATGATTTTACTGGAAAGCAAACATGGATTTCATGCTTTGAAATCAAAATGGCTTCCATCTTTTAAAAAAAGATGCACAGAAAATTGTAATATGCTCCATTGAGATCGGAGAATCTCTATACTATATATTTGCTTTTTAAAAATGGCTTTGCAATGTGCAGTTTTCCTCAGTTTTACTAAATAGAGTTCATTTTTGGGACCTGAATGTAATAAATTCTTAGCAATGCAGTAATCATGTTTGTAAAACAAACTTTTACTTACAGGTGAAACTCAAAAAATTAGAATATCGTGCAAATGTTCATTTATGTAAGTATGGCAACTCAAAAGGTGAAACCAATATATGAGATAGACGCATTACATGCAAAGCGAG